ATTCAATAATTATATGAAGCCGCTGGGAGAGATCATCAGGAGACATGGAGCAGGATGTTACCAATATGCTGATGACACTCAAATATTCTGCTCCATGTCTCGGTCAACTGCTATGACGGCAGATGGAGGTTCTCCCCTCAATCAATGCCTTGAGGCGGTAATGGACTGGATGAGGAAAAACTGACTCAAACTGAATCCAGACAAAATGGAGGTACTTAAAGTAGGGGGCCCCAGAGATTGGGTTGAGACCGCCAGTCTTGGATGGGGTCACGCTCTCCACCAAGAACTGTGTCCACAGTCTGGGGGTGCTCCTAGACTCATCACTTCACATGATAAATCAGGTGAATGTGACAGTCAAGAGTGCCTGTTATCAGCTTTGGCTGATATGCCAGCTGCACCCTTTCCTGAAAATAAAGGACCTAGAAACTGTAGTACATGCCCTGGTAACCTCGACTCGACTTCTGTAATGCACTCTACATGGGGCTACCTTTATACCTAACTTGGAAACTGCAACTAGTACAAAATATGGCAGCCAGGCTGATCACTGGAACTCCAAGATGTGATTATATCACTCCGATCTTGAAATCTTTGCACTGGCTGCTAGTTATTTTCTGGGCACAGTATAAGGTGTTGGTGTTAACCTTTAAAGCCCTACATGGCCTGGGCCCATCTTACCTAAGGAGTCGCCTATCTCCATATAATCCACCCCGTGCCCTCAAGTCCTCTGGGAGAAAGTTGCTTCAACCAATAAGAACCAAATTGGCGACAACCTCCCAGAGGACTTTCTCTGCCACAGCCCCTAGACTGTGAAATGCCCTGCCGGAGGAGATCCATCAGATAACCAACTTAGGGGGGTTGCAGACTGCCAGAAATAGTGCAAATTGAGTCCACTTTTAGGGTTAGGGTTAGTGCTAGGGAATCATGGGAACTTTTTTTTCTGAGACATTGAGCCTTCTCTGTCAGAGAGCTCTGGTGCCACAATAAAATACAGTTCCCATGATTCACTAAGCCTAAGCCTAACCCTAAAAGTGGACTCAATTTGCACTATTTCTGGCAGTCTGCAGCCCCCTTTTGATGGCTTTAAAAAAGCCATCAAGACGGATCTTTTCCAGCAGGCATTCCCAGAATGACATTCCCACAATCTCTCCCCCGCCATTAGACCATTAGATCATTCCTTTATATATTCAGACTGCCAGCTATCTAATTGTATTAGATTTGTAGCTTTGTTTTAAGTTAAATTTTAATGTTGACAATGATTTAATATATTTTTAAGGGGGAGGGGGTTATATGTCTATTATAATTGTATGGGATTGTATTTTAAATTGTAAAGCTGCCTTGATAGCCTTGGCTAAAGGTGGGATATCAATAAATTATATTATTATTATTATTATTATTATTATTATTATTATTATTATTATTATTATTATATCTGGAAAGGAAAACATGCTAATCACTGAGCATAAACTGTCCCCTAGATTTAATCCTAAATGCAAGACACACAGCTGAGGACATTTTTATCCTATGACAAACAGGCATCTTTCACCACTTCAGGGAGCTGTCTTCTAAAGATATTAGTGTATAGTTTGATTCCAAGTTTCATTCCAACTAAGTATCTCTTTTTATTTTTGTGAGCTTTTTCAAAAATATCTCTACTCATGCCCAAAACCAGAAAAGTAAAAAATACTAGATTTGGCAGTGAGGGAGGGGGGTGGAATGAAAGAGAGCTCATGCACACTACATTACTATCATTGTACACTATTGCACAGTGATATGTGATCAACATCCTCCAGTTCACAGGTTCAAGAACAAAAATTATTTTCCTTTGATACTTTGAAACCATCCTCATTGTCACTTGTTGGTATGTATACTTAGCAAATCTTCCCTCAGGTTTCCAAGTTTCTATCCATTTTGGAAAGAAGGCTGTAACAAGGGAACAGTTCAGACTATTAAAAAAAAGAAACAGCAAAAAGAAAGAAAAAGAGAATTTATCACAGTGAAGTCCTTTCAGTACCTTTTTAAGGGACCATAGAAGATGAATGAGGATAAATGACTAAACTGACTTAGAGTCATTTGAAGAAATTTTCATTCAGTGATTAGGAAATGCCATTATACTTTAAATGATTGGTTGTGGGGGGAAAATCATTCTCAGCTCCAGTAAAACGTGTTGACCTAATGGATATTCCTCAAAGGTAAGTCAAAGTGTTATATGATGTTCTTTTATTGATTGTTGATTCTAGGTTTACCTCTGGGAACCAAACAGCAAAGAAATGTTCATAAAGGAAAAAAGACTGACCTTTTCTACAGAGGCATTTTAAACCTGTGTGATACACATATAGACAACGGAGAATGTAAGAAGGAGGAAAAGATAATATAACCTATAGAGGAAAGGAGGGAGAGTGTGTCAGAGAGAGAAAGAGAAAGAAAGAGAGAGAGTTCTTATTTTGAAAAGAACAACACAGAGTTAGCTATTGTAACCTGGTAGCAATAATTTATTAATAACTTATTAATAGAATTAGTTGTCCTCTGTATGACCAATTAACTTTTTTTAAGAACAATAGTAGGTATACAAAAATGTGGTAAATGGCAAGAAGGCCAACAAACAAAAAACATTGGCCATCTTGTAATGTGGGATAATTAAACTGTATTAATTTTTGTTTGCATTTGTTAGTTTTGCTTAGTTTAGAAGTCAAAGTTTCAATCAAAATTATGACAGCTTTTCTTCTAATGTATACTGTTTCTAGCTCTATATTCTCATTCCCTGGAAAAAGTGGCTCCTGAATGATGCTGACGGAACAAAAGAAAAATTGGTATTGGCGGCTATGATTTAAATACCTAGTGCTTGTCCCCCCCACACAGCTCTCAGGTGCAGTTATGGTGCAGTTATTCCATCTTGCTCTCTTTAACAGATTTTCTGTGGCTGGCAAAAACAAAAACAAAAACAATAGGGAAACATAGGAGAGTTAAAATGGGAAATGATAGTTTGACCTGCTACAAAATCCCATGTTTGTTGCAGGTAATCACACAATAAAACTCCCAGCTTGCAGCCATTCAGATTTGAATTGCTTGATCTTTGAATAACAGATTCCTTCTTACTTCAGCCAAGAATGGGGAACATCTTGCAGCTAAATTCAATTGCAGAGAAACATTTGGGGGCTACACTCCAGGCAAATGGGGAGGATCAAAATACCCATTTTAACTTTAATTTTAGCTTGAATGCTTACTGCCAAGAATTATACTTTTGAAGAGCCTTTTCAATGTTTTGGAGCATAGTTGTTTTAATGTTATGCCCCAAATAGATTCAGCACCTTGGATAGTTCCTTTAAACCCCAGAGTAGATTTCCCATGTTTAACTCTCTTGTGTTAACTCCCCCAGCCAGCTTGAATCCCAGTTTGGGAGAAAAGCAGGATATAAACCCATTGAATAAATAAATAAATAAATAAAATTGATAGGGAAGCCACCAGCTGCATTGAGAATGAGGGGAAAGCACACAGACATTATGGTGATGGGGATCTGCATGACCCATAAGACTAGGTTACGGTCCTGCTAAGTCTGGATTCAGACAAGAGCTGAGTTTTCCACCGCAGCCAAGTTTACGTGGCTGTTCCTTTCATTTGAAGTCCATACACTTCTAAGGTGCATAGAAGTAGCTATAAATTAAATGCAAATTGCATAGGCCTATTTAAATATAATTTACTGAGGTTTACCTTATATACTACATGCATAAGCATGATAGATGGGAATATATTCTGATCTATGCCCCAACAATTTTTAAAATTACCTTCTATATAATTTAAAATATAACCATTGCCATGAAATGAAACATTGAGCCTCTATAAATGAGCCATCCGTATTCTTAAAAGGGAGTCAACAAACAGAACGCTTGCCCTTTTCATAAGGTGACACACCAAAAACAAGTAGGATTTATCTGTAACTAAAAGGATATTTAAACAGTTCATCCATAATAAGTATATCAAAAATAGAAAATAAAATGTAAAAGTAACACTGGCTATGTTAAGTTGCAATATTTTAAGAGAGTTCAACTACAAGGACTATATTCTCTTAGGAATGGGCTTTGTAAATTCAGCAACATTTTTCAAATACACACACACACACACACACACACACACACAATATAGGCAAGTACTTCCAAATAAGAAAATACAGTAGGCAGCACCTTCTATCAGAATCCTCCACATCTTTGTAAATTAATGAAGTACCTTATTTTCCTGCGTATAAGACTACTTTTTTACCTGCAAAATCTGTGGCTAAAGTGGGGGGGGTCGTCTTATACGCCGGAAAATATGGTATATCTTTCCAAAGGTCAGCACAGGAAGCTGAGATGTTAAATTCAAGTGGGTTTTTGTTTGCATATTAAACCAATGGATATGGTACGGCATAAAAGTTATCATTATGCCTTATTCTAGGATTTGACTTACCTGTGTCAACTTAGGCTGAGGCAAAAAAGAACCAAGAAGAAACCTGTGATCAAAACAATCTCTTGATCATCCTTGAGATCCTCATTAGGGTGTTTTTTGTTTGGGGTTTTTTTGTGTTTTGTTTGTTTGTTTGTTTGTTTTTTGGTGACTCTGACTCTCCTCATTCCCATTTCCCTCTTTGTCCTCAACTTACGACACTGCCGCAAACTGTGTTCATAGCACAAAAATAGTTAGCTGTCCTCCTTACTGGCCTTGCATGCTGAGGATGATGATGTTGCACATGTAGGTACAGAATGACTCGTTACACAATTATAATTCTCTTACACAAAATACCATCCAAAGTACATGTGCAAGTGTAACTGAAGGCTATGCCACTATATGTCACCAAAGGTAGGCAACTCTGTTGTTATTGTGTGCTTTCAAGTTGTTTATGATTTACAACAACCCAAAATTGAACCTATCATGGAGTTTTTAGGCAAGATTTTTTTTTCAAAAGAGGTTTCCATTGCTTTTCCCTAAGGCTGAGAGAGTGTGACTTGCCCATGGTCACCCAGTGGGTTTCATGACTGAGCTGGGAATCGAGCCTTGGTCTCCAGGGGTCATAGTCGAGCACTCAAACCACTATGCCACACTGGCTAATTATTACTCGATGTATTATTCTCAGGCTCTAAGCCTAGCAAATATTCCATTTTTTTAAGAGCTCAGTTCTGTAACAAAACAGCAAGACTGGGAAAGACAATGAAACATGCCTTCTACTTCTAAAAAGATAAGCACAGTTTAGTGCTTCCTTGTGGGTTTGTTCTTTGTTTTGTTTTTTGAGAGAGAGAGAAGAAGAAGAAAGAAAGAAAGAAGAAACAGCTAATGTTTGTATCCATCTTCTCCCTGATAACATCTCTGCTATGTAGGCTCCTGATTGAACAGGATCAGGGCATTTTTCAGAGTCACATTTTATTTTGCCCTACAGAAAAATGTTGATAAAAATCAAGTTTGGTGAGATTACAACAGATCACAATTTTTAAAAGTCGGGATATGTATTAATACAATAAATCTAATCCTTTGCAGTATCAAATTACTGTCTGGATAAAATCTTTTTATTATTATTATTATTTGGTTGCAAAAATTGCAGGATGATTTTTAGAAGTTTAATCCACTATATTGTTGCAGACATAGCACTTGTATGGAATAAAATTAATAAATGAAAAGAAATGCTCTCTTCTATGAACATCTTTGTCACAATGAAGTGCTTTAAATGCATTATGATTCATTTTGTTTTATGATCAGTCTTAAGCAGGACCAAGTGTGAGGTAGTGGTCTGAGTGGTGGACTACGATTCTGGAGACTAGATTTTGAACCCCCACTCATTTATGGAAACCCACTGGGTGACCATGAGCAAGTCACACTACCTCGGCCTCAGAGGAAGGCAAAGGAACCTCCCTTCTGAACACATTTTGCCAAGAAAACTGTGATAGGTTCACCTTAGGGTTGCCCTAAGTCAGAAACTCCTTGAAGGCTCGCAACAACAACGTATACTGTCACATTTTCAGTATATGAGTATGTATATACATGTCATATTTTCATGTATATGAGCATGTATATTTAGACATAATTATGCAAGTTTTAACACAAATTTTATTTTAAAATTGTAAGTTCATAATTAATGTTAAGTGCCTACACAGTTATACACTGAAAAAAATACACTATTATGTATGATGGTGTACATATACATATACACATGCCAACTAGGCAGTCATGATTATCTGTGTTGCCTTCTATTGCTTTCAATTATATGTGCCTTTGCACCTGTATTCAGATCAGGAGTGAGCAAGGTACAGCACAGGGCTATTTGATGGTCCCCCAAGACCAAAAAATTCACACAAGTCTATTTTTTAAAAAAATCTAGACTTATACCATCCCACTGGTTCTCACCTCAAGAGGCAATCCAGTGCAGAGAAACTGCACAAGGGATAAAATGGCTAACTTATGAGAACCTTCTAAAAAAAGATAGGGATTGAAAATACAACTTGAAAACCCAAGATGCATTAAGCAGTGAAGGATATAAATTGTACTGGTTTTCATTTGGACAAATTTCAGAACATTATAGAATAGATAATAAATTACAAGGATTTAGAGAGAATACAACCAATTTTGAAAAATAATATTAGCAGACAATAAAAAATGGATTAGGATTTTTTATGTAATGCTACTGAAATGGGAACTAGAGGAAGTAGTAGTGAAGAAAAACATGATACAGTGGGCTAAAAAATGTAGGTCACACAATATAGTTGAGTAGATGGGAACAAACATGGATTAAAGGAATGAAACATACTTTGTTTCAAAATCTCAGAGCAAATTACTATAAACTGTACTTTCATTGGTATCTTACACCTGAGAAAATATCAAAAATCTACATAACTAAAAATAATCTATGTTGGAAATGTGGGAAAGAACCAGGTACTTTGTGGTCTATAAAGAAAGAAGATCTAGAAAGAGATTTTGTAAAATCCTCTTTTACCTAGTTACTACAGCAAGAATGGCATTGGTGCAAAAATGGAAATCCAAAAAATCCCAAGTATAAAAGAATGGTTAATTAAGCTTTACGATGTGATTGAGATGGATGAACTGATGCAACTTATAAGATTAAAGTCCACAAATAAAGAAAAAAAGGAATGGGAATTAGCATTGGGATACTTGGAGAAATAATGGGGGAAAGTAGCTACAATTGGTTTATAATATAAAAAGGAACGAGAAGACAAAGAAACAAATAGTGAAGGAGGTTTATACAAATGAAGAGAGAGATAACAAGAATGGAGATATATGAGGACGCTTGAGGAAACTGAAACAAAATAAGGCTAAGAGATGTCAACATAAGATTGCAAGACTGATTAGGTCAAAATATAAAGAAATACCAAAACTTATAAGAATCAAAATAAAGGCATTAAAATAAAACTTAATACATAAATATAAGTAATTCAAATTGAATGTTTAAGGAACAATTAATTTTAGCATCTAAGAATTAGTTGAAGTTCAAAGCTAAAATATTAACACAAATAGATCATAACATTTGATACGACTCAAGTTATAGAGACAAGGTGTAAGACAATAAAGAAGGAATGAAGGTTGGTTTTTTTAAGCATAAAGTAGATAAGAAGGTCAAAGAAGTACACTAGAATAATTCAATAATGGTAAGAAGAAAGTCTGGAATAAACAGTATGGATGGGGGAGGAAGTATGTGAAAGGGAAGAAGGGAGAAGATATTAATGTGAAGTGAGGAGAAGACGACAGGAAGTTGAAAAGGTGAGAGGATGTGAAGAAGGTAATAAGATGTAGGAAAAAGGAAAGAGCAGTGAGAGGAAGGCAAGAAGAGATGTGAGAAAGAAGGGGAGAGAGAGACAGAAGAGAAGAGGATTCGAAGGTGGTAGAGTTATGAGCTGAGAGTAGAGGAGATTTTGAAGGATACTGAAGGAGAATTTAGGAAGGAAAGAAAAGAGGGGATATGAAAGGAAAGGAAGACTGATAGAACGGTTGTGATAATATATAGTGGACCCTTCTTTTATGTGGGGGATCCATTCCGGACCGACCCCCCACATAAAGCAAAAAATGTGGGACCTCAAGTCCCGTTTGTTTGAATGGGGCATGCCCCTGCAGCATGTGCCATGGCACACAGTACAAGCACATGGCCCATTCATTCTACCTGGGCTTGCTGTCTGCATATCTAGAATAACTTGTTTAAAATTGAACGTACTTGCTGTAATGACTTTCTTTTTATCTTGTTATGCTTGTTAATTTGGAATGTTTGTACTGTTTTATGTTTGTACAATAAAATACTATTTATATATTTTTTTTAAATTAAAACTTTTTTCCCAGTTGCTCTCTAGGTGTGGTGTGGAAGACATTTTTCCAAAATTTTGGGAGGAACCTGGGCCCTTTGGGGTCAACAAAGCTGCAGATTTCCCCTCTGCCTCCCAAAAATTGTCTCAAAATGCCCTTTGGGATGGGTGGGGATTATTCCCATCATGGTATGGGGATCCTGGCTAATTTAGGGCCAGGAAAGGTCTTTAAATAAAACAAACCAGAAAGTTTTTCTTGTTACAAAGGGCCTCTTTTGGGCCTGAAATGAGCCAGCAAGGCCTTAAAATGTGATGAAAATGCCCCTGTGTATTTTATTTTACTATTAATTTCTTTCATTTATTTCATATGCCCTTCACTTACTTCATGCATTTAGAGGTCTAGGGGGCATTTGGGGGCCAAAAGCGGGGTTGTTTGATTGTATGTTTTGTTTGTTTTGTTTTTGCAGGGATGCAATAGAGGGTGCAGTCCTCTAAATTCTCCTGGGAGACTAATGCAGCTCCCTCACTTTCCACAATTGCCCACCCCTGATTTAGATGAACATCCAAGAATCAACTATGGGTAAGAAAATATGCATTCTCTGTGACTGACCCCATAGGATTCTCTGATCACTTCCCTATAAATCCATGGGACCCCAGGATACAATAGTCATCCCTCATCCAGGGAACATGGGACTTTGTCTTGTACTGAGTTAAATCATTGGTCCATTTAGCTCCATTTAGTATTGTCTACACTGAATGGCAGAAGCTGTCTGAGTGTTTCAGGTCTTTCTTAGTCCTATCTGGGACTGTTGTATAGAAAATGTGTGCTCTGCTTGATTGTGGGAGTGGAGTTTGTCATTTGTTGCTCTCCCTCAGGCAGCAAAATGTCTTGGCCAGGCCCTTAAGAGGCAGGATGCTACTGAAAATCTATATCTGCAGAAGAATTATTGCATTCATGCCACAATTCTCCAGAAAACCAACAAGTGTGGTTGTCCTTATCAACATGATTCTACCAGATCATCCATGTGGCTAAGTCAGCATGTGGGCTTGAACTCTGTTGCTGTTTCCAACTAGAACAGATCTATGGACTCAATATGATTTACATCAGTGTTGATTCACCATTCAGCAAACTAATTCAGTGGGTTTACTCTTCAGAATTTCTTGAATTAGGCATTCTTTTAGGCAGAAGTGAATGAAAAGAGCTACATAAGTATCATGTACACTGAATTTACATTGACACATGCTCGCAAAGGACAATCTGACAAAACAACTCTCACTGTGAGTACATACTGAGAATCTATATTGGCTTTTGGGTCTATTCTCACTATATATTTCATTCAAGCAAAGGCATGCTTATTTCTTTTGCATCTGTAAATGTCTTTTTATTACAAATCTCAATATTGATGCTACAAAGAGTCAGCCTTATTCACTTACGTTCTGATTGTTAAGAGAAAGAAAGTAGCACAAGCTAATTTTCTCAAGGCGGGCATGGTCAGTATTGATTCAGGTAAAGGATCCATTGGGAAATAAGAACATTAAAAGCCTCAGCTAATTGCATAGTTTTGCATGTTTTATTATTTGTGAAATTCAGGCTCCCATGTACTAGGTCACACTTTCTTTTCAAAGACTTAAGGACAATAGAGGCAAACAACAAAAATACATTTAAAATTATGTTTAAAATGCTTATATCATATTTGATTCCAAAATATTTAAAAAAATGTGTTTAAAAACTGCAGTGTATTGTACTACCTCTACTATATAGACTTCTGTATAATAGCAATATATGTATATTAAAGGCATTCTGTTTTA